GAAAAAAGAAGAGAGATTATCCCCAATTAGATAGAACAAAATCCTACAGAAGTAAAAGTATCAGTACCTATCCCTATGTTGATTAAAGAATTTCATAATGACCCGACAAAATAGAAACAAAAACCAAAAGTCACACTCTAATAACATAGGTAGCAGCAACAAAAAAGCTCACCCAAACTTCTATTAGTCTAATTTGATATTGAGCATCTTTAGTCATTGTTAATTTTAGCTACAATCTTAGACATATTTGGGTGGGACTACATATTAAAAATATCTGGCCGTACACTATATGTTGTTTATGCCAACCAAGAAAAGGTCAATAATATACTTGTAGTTCATGTTATTTAGAGAAAAAATTTAAGTACAGCTTAAGGGCTAAATACTCCTTTCACCTCTCAAGAAAGTTTATTTGGAGGACTATCTAAGTTTGCGGGTTTTATTACATATCATAGGCACCTTACTGAAGGCTGGCATATATTATGACAACATGGATAATAAATGCTAGTAGCAGCAATGGCAAATTAAATATGAACATGTTTGGAATAGTAAAAGTTTGTGGCGCTACAAGAACAACACGAAACTCACCTGTGAGAACTGAAAGATCCTGAAAGCATGTAGTTCAGGGAAATCGAAGAAAGAATAACTAAAAGTAAATCATGTTGAAGTGCATATGAATGAAGTGATAAAAATGAGATTTCCAATGACCATCCCAGAAAAACAATCGACTAAAAAACAATCAAGTGGAGAGAACAAGTAAGAGTGAACAGAGAAACGTACCTGAGAGGAAGAGAAATTTTGAGATGGCAAACTTTAGAATCTGGTAGATTGGTAGGAGAAAATTTATCAAACAAGTTACTCCCGAGGTGTAAAAATTAGGAATTCACGTGCTAAGCCTCCAATATATGCAGCCGAGTCTCGAAACATTGAATTACTCTAAAATTAGCTGATATAGACTGCTGAAACGTTAAAAATAATTTAGCCCATAGCTATTTAAGCTTTCTTCTCCCTAAATTGTTAAGCATTAATACGGTCGAAAGTTTTGAAGTACTATCATTTGCTGTCAATATTCGAATACAAATCAAAAGTGGAAACGAACTGCAGAAGCTTGCAAAATATTAGAAGTATGAAAGACAGTAAGAGAATCTAAATCAAAGTGAAAAAGGAACAAATAATTGCGCAGAAAATAGTGATGACAGGACCAAGAAAGCATGTTATAGTAAAAATAATAATGACCCGCACTAGTTAAATTAGAGTTGGGACTTCTTTACCACATTAGATAACTACTCAATGAACAATCAATTCCTGAAGTAGCTTACATAAACTGTAGACATAGAACTGGGGTTCTTAGTTGCCAAGTGTACATGGATAGGCCAAGACATGATGCCAAACTCGAGATCAAGGGATTCTTAGCTACAAAATTTGTAATTAATATTAGTTGCAACCCCACATTCTAAATCAAATAAAGAAAAATTAATGGAGCAGAGAGTAGCATATATGACCAGGTTCGAACAAAAGTTTATGTACCTTTGTGAGCTCTCCTAATCTCTGACTTCTTGAGTATTGCATACCCAAATATTATCTTAGATGTAAATGGTGGATTGGTGGGTTTATCACCTTTTCTATTAAGTTTTGTCAATCAGTATCCCATACTCTACTATCTTTCTGAGAACTAATATTTTTCCGACAATTAAAAAACAGACAGTAACTAAAAAATAAACGAAGCATTTTGCCATACTTATAGGCAAATGTGTGGGAATTATATATATTTAGGTCTCATCCAGCAACATTCAAACAAATCAGTCTAATCATACTCACCAAGTTATTCTTCAAACGGTATCAAATCAAGAATTCAAGTACACAAGCACAACATTGGACCAAATAAGCACTCAAAATGAGATGTACTCTAGTTTATCAAAATGTAACAGGAAAAGACACTTAACCACTTAAGCTTCACCAAATGTCTAGAAATAAAGATGCGCCATATTAACTCATCACCATAATAGCGTAAAAATAAATTAAAACTTCAAATTATACCAACAAGAGAAAAAGGAAAGTGTCAACAAGTTATAAATGAATCATGAACTTCTGCTCGCGATCGACCTAGAATGAAAGAAAATGTTAGTAGAGGTAAAGGCATCACATGAAGGTTAATGAAACAAAAGCCATGCATTTTTGGCATCACATAAAAGCATCGATCTAATTCCAATATAAAATTAGTATACGATCACAGAATTCGTAAATAAAATGCAAATCTCTCAACAAGAAAAGAGGAATTTCACCGAAATTTAAAGAAACCATTAGCAAGAAAAGGAATTTTTAGGAATTTCAGAAAAGCCAAATTGAAAAGTCATTAAATTGAAAGCAAAAATTTCAGAGAAACCTTACAAGTAAGTCTTTGAAAAATGGAGGTCAACAGCGGCTGCAAACCCTAAAAAAACGAAATCCCCAATTGAAACTGATAGCCACAGAACCAGACGAAGAGAAAGTTTTGAAATTTGAGAAGAGAAATTAGAAGAATTTTATCGCTTCCATCAACGATTTCCTCCGAACTCACCCCGCGTCACTCAATGAACAGAGAGGTACAAGAAGAGCCAGATCTTAGGGAAGAAGGACGAGATCTTCTTGTTGTGTGGGTAAATTTGACAGGCATATTTTAATTAGAGTATTTTAGAGCGTAACTTTTTGCCAAAAACAAATAGAGGGAAATCTGAACGGGAAATTTTAGAGGACTTTAGAGCACGTTTATGGAGGATCGCAATTGCAAATATAAACAACCACTCCCTTAAAGGGTTACATTACATGTGACTAAACGTTGCCTTAATTTAATGGATCGGCAACACGTGAAAAGCGTAGCCTTTAAAATAAAAAAGAACACTTTGTAAGCGTTGCTAGAATTCCGTGGCCAAAAGTGCTCGATAAAGGCCACCCCTTAAAAAACGTCCTGTAGATATTTTTGGCAACACTTTTCAAGCGTTGTCTAAAATTGGTGTGACCTTAGGCCATTTTTGTTGTAGTGATATTATCTCGCACTACTATAAATTATATCTTCAAAACCAGTCCTTAGACATAAACTCCTTTTCGATTATTTCCTTTATTCCCTTTCGCTATTATGCTCTCACACGATCAGTTATTATAGTTGAAGTGATGATAATTATTATTTCGTCAAATTTAAATTTCTATGGTGCATTTTCTATGCACTTGACAAGTTTCCGATAGTACTATAGTTTTATCTCCGGTGTATTTTAAGGGATAAATATTTTACAATTTCTTGTAGATGAACAAGGATTTGCTAAATTACTTCCTGAAGATCATTTTACTACCGACTTAGATCCTTCGAGAAACTACAAGAAAATAAATTTAATTCCCAGAATCAAATTATAAAAAGAATGAAGCACAGTTAAAGAATGTAATTTCTTTTCCAATAATTGAGATCACAATCGAGAAACTGTACAACTTACCCTGCGAGAAAATTTAGTGTAAGAATCTCTACTTGAAACCTGTAATGCACAATTCTTCTGAGCTTTGTTGAATTTTGATGATACCCAGAACGTAAAACTCGATTTCCATATCGAAAATCCTAATATGCTTATCAATGCCCAGCAAAGTCTCTTGCGAGGTTTATAGAAATAAAAAAAATACCTACATACAACAAGCAAATCTATACACCTGACATCGATTCAACCTTTTACTGAAAAGAAAAAAGGAGAAAAAATACACATGAAATGAATTCAACACAAACTCTTAAGAAAAAAAAGCAAAAAGAAACACGTAGACACCCAGATGGAGAAGAGAAGAGAAAGAAAAACTAACCTTTTGGGAAGAGGGGTGAATACATGGAGAAACAGAGAAAAGTCATAGAAAGTGACAAAAATATAAATCGAACACTGAAATAAATAATTCCAAACAACATGAAGGAAGAAGATCAGGTGAACTGAAAACTAACCCCTTAAGATTAACTAAATATTCAAATTCCAAGAAATTTTAATGTAAGAAATAAAGAAAGTATTCAATAATAAATTTTTGGCACCTGCAAATCAACAGTTAGAGAGTATAAATCAATCTTTTAGAACTTCCAAATACGACGATAACCAGGTTGGGAGTTCATAGCATCAGTCTATGATTTAGAAACAGAATTGGGGTTTCTTTGATTTGAAACCTTTTCAGTGAAATTTGTTGTTCCTCTTCGGGGAGGTACAAAGAAGAAACGACAAGAATGGGGGCCGTGAAGGGAAAGAGAAAGACGAAAAGATAATAGAGGGAGACATACCAAGCTGTGGAAGTACTGGAAAAACAGCTAGTCCATACATGACCACACTAGTTCACACAAATTCACACATGTCCACACCTCACTCTTTTCTAACTATATGTATGAAAACATTAAATTAATGTAAACCAATCTAAACAAATGTGGACAAATGGAAACAAGTTTATTACTATTTTTAACATCCCCCTTAAACTTGTTTCATTACTCCAAGCGCCATCCTTAACTTTTGAAAAGCGTCAATCTTCAAAGGCTTGGTGAAAATATCCGCAATTCGATCTCCAGACTTCACATGCTCAAGCTCCACAACTTTATTAGATATGCAATCTCTAATAAAATGATATCTCGTATCGATGTGCTTGCTTCTTTCATGAAATACCGGGTTCTTGGCTAAATATATTGCCGATTTGTTGTCAACAAAAATCTTTGTAGCATCCTTCTGTGGTTGCTGAAGTTCTTCCAACAAGCTCCTTAGCCAAATTGCATGGCAAACACACGAACAAGCTGCTACATACTCCGCTTCACAAGTTGACAAAGTCACAATTGGTTGCTTCTTAGAATTCCATGTAAATGCGGAATTTCTAAAAAAGAAAACAAACCCAGTAGTACTTTTCCGATCATCAATATCACCAGCCCAGTCACTATCACAATATCCCACGAACTTGGATTCTTTAGAAGATGAATAAAGAATTCCATAATCAAGCGTATCTTTGATGTACCGAAGTATTCTTTTGGCTACCTTTAAGTGCGAGGTAGTAGGACTTTCCATAAAGCGACTCAGGAGTCCAACTCCAAAAAGAATATCCGGCCTTGTACATGACAAATACCTTAAGCTTCCAATAAGACTCTTGGAAAATGTGGGATTGACTCTATCTCCATCTCCATGCTTGGATATTTTAACTCCACATTCAACGGGGGTGCTTACGGGATTGCAATTCTCCATCTCAAATTCTTGAGAATTTCCTTTGCATACTCTCCTTGAGAAATAAAAATGACATCCTTCCTCTGTGCTACTTGAATTCCAAGATAGTAGGACATTAGGCCAATGTCCGTCATCACAAATTCTCTAGCCATTGCTTTCTTGAATTCTTCAAACATCTTTGGATTATTTCCAAGTCATCTACATACAAGCAAACAAGTAAGATGCCACCATTTTCAGCAATCTTTACATAGAGGGCATGTTTATGTGGAAACTTAGAAAAACCATTTGCTTGGATATATTTGTCAATTCTACTATTCCAAGCTCGCGGGGCTTGCTTCAACCCATATAAAGCCTTCTCTAATTTCAAGACTTTATCTTCTTGTCCTTCAACCTTATATCCCGAAGGTTGATCAATATAGACCTCTTCCTCCAATAGGCCATTCAAGAAAGCCGACTTCACATCAATTTGATGGATTTACCATTGATTTTGTGCCGCCAAAGCAATGACAAAGCAAATTGTTTCCAAACGAGAAACCGGCGCAAATACTTCATCGTAGTCAATACCAGCCTTTTGCTTGTAGCCTTTAGCTACCAATCTCGCTTTGTACCTTTCTATTTCTCCCTTGGAATTCTTCTTTAGCTTGTACACCCATTTGACTCTAATGGTGCTTTTGCCTTTTGGAAGTGTGACCAACTCCCATGTATCATTCTTTTTTATAGCTTTGGTTTCTTCATCCATTGCATCCCTCCATTGGAATTTTGGCAAGCATCTTCAAAGCTTAGAGGCCCACTGTCCACCAGCAAATAAAAATGAGTAAAATCATACAAGTCATTTCTTACCACTTCCGTATTTTCATACAAGTCAGAGAGACTTCTACTCTTGTGAGGTGCTTCACTTGAACTTGAGCTTGATCCCCCAACTTCTTGAACTTGTGGTGGAGGTGTTGAAGGTGGTGTGATAGCCTGCTCCCCATCTTCTTCTTCATCATCTTCAAAGAATGGACTAAAAGAGTAATCTTGCTCTTTAGATTTCCACTCCCAAGCATTATCTTCATCAAACTCAACATCTCTACTTATGGTGACCTTGCCATTTTTGGGGTTATATAATTTATAAGCTTTAGAACTTTGATCATAGCCACTGAAGACATACCTCTCACTTTTGTCATCAAGCTTAGACCTCTTCTCATCTGACACATGTGCATATGCGATGCTCCCGAAAACTCGCAAATGAGTAACTTTTGGCTTGAAATCACTCCATGCCTCTTGTGGTGTTTTTCCACGAACACTTTTGGTGTGACACCGATTTGATAAGTACAACGCACAAGCAACAGCTCTTTTGGCATATTTTTGCTCTTCAACATACTCCTCGCCATGTTGAGAATAGTTCGATTCCTTCTCTCCACGACGCCATTTTGCTGTGGTGATCTCGGAATTGTCAAGTAATGACGAATTTCATGTTTCTCACATAAAATCTTGAATTCATTTGAAGTGAATTCTCCACCATTATCGGACCTAAGTGACTTAATTTGATAGCCACTTTGCTTCTCCACCATGCTCTTAAACTTTTTGAAGGTTTCAAACACCTCCGATTTTGCCTTCAAAAAATAAACCCAAGTTTTTCGAGAAAAATCAGCAATGAAAAGTAAAAAATAATTATTTTTACCTAGTGAAGATGGCTTGATAGGTCCGCACACATCCATGTGAATTAACTCGAGAGGGCATCTTGCTCTTGTTAAAGACTCTTTAGGAAATCTTTTCCTTGCTTGCTTTCCAAAGTGACATCCTTCACAAAGTTGGTTGGGATGATCAATTGTTGGCAATCCATTCACCATGCTTTCCTTCTTCATCAACCTTAGGCTATCAAAATTCAAGTGACCAAATCGCATATGCAAAAGCCAAGATGAATCTTCATGAAAGCAAGCACCTCGGAACATCATTTTGAAGATATAATATGAACATTTTATTATTAACCATAGGTACTTTGGCTAACAATCTTCCCCTTTCATCTCTCATATACAACTTTTTGTCTTTCAAATGAATGTCATAATTTTTCTCCAAAAGTTGTCCCAAACTTAAAATATTACTTCTCATCTCCTGCACATACAAAACATTGGAGATTACTTGATGACTTCCATCTTTTAAGCGAATTAAAATCGTATCTTTTCCTTTGATTTGAACTCGCGAAAAGTCTTCAAAAGTGATTGGGCCACCATTCAGCTCCTTAAGCTCCACAAATAAATTTTTCTTTCCACAAATATGACTACTTGCACCGGAGTCAAGGTACCATTTGTTCTTTTCCACACTTTCTTTTCCTTTGCATGCTAGAAGTAGAGTGGCATCTTCATCTTCATTTTTGCTCTCCACAAAGTTGTTTTTCTCCTCCGAATTATCTTTACATCCCCAGGAAATGTCCAAATTTATGACAAGTATAACATTCAACATTCGATTTGTCATACCTTCCTTGATTTTGTCTCCATCCTTTGCCTCTTCCACGACCTCTTCTTTGACTATATTCTTGGCTTTTATTGTCTCTATTTGGTGGTTGACTACCACCTCTTCCTCCTCTGCCACGATTTCTTCCATTTCCACGACCTCTTTGCTGCGAACCATGCCTTTCATCCCTCTCCTTGAAGGAAAGTTTTGCTTGCAACGCCTTTTCAATCGATTCTTCTTTTGGTTTCTTCAATTTTTCTTCATGGGCTTGCAAAGAGCTTGAAAGTTCATCTATGGTCATGGTTTCCATGTCTTTGGACTCTTCAATAGCAACAACAATATAATTAGATTTTGAATCTAGGGATCGTAGTATTTTTACAACGACCCTATCATCCTTCAACTCTTCACCATAGCTTTTCATTTGATTGACAATAGCCAAAACTCTTGAAATGTAATCTGAAATAGATTCATTTTCTTTCATATGCAATGATTCAAACTCTCCTCTTAAGGTCTGGAGACGAACCTTTTTCACTTTGTCCAAACCTTTAAAGGAAGTTTGAAGAATGTCTCATGCTTGCTTGGAGGTTGTCACATTTGCAACATTCTCGAACATCATGTCATCCAAACCTTGATGGATGAGAGTGAGTGCCTTTTGATCTTACTTATTTGTGGCCGGGACATCTTACGCTTCATCAACTGCAGACTCTACCGGTTCCCAAACATCATAGGCACCAAGCAAGGCCTTCATTCGAATACACCAATTCCCATAGTTCTCTTTTGTGAGCATAGGAACTTGGAATGGTGTTCCATTAGTGTTTGTCATCTTTTTTCCAAGTTTGGTTGTCTCTCAATACACCGGCTCTGATACCAAATGTTAGAAATTTTTGGGAGAGCAAGACAACTAACCAAACACTCAAAACTCACTATTAGAGAGGTGGAGGAAAGGATGATTTCTATTCAACTTCACTTGCACCAAATGGCTAGCATACATGGGTATTTATAGTAGAACTCCTACATGTATCTAGCCTAAACTTCATGTGTACATATTAATAAATAGAATTAAATGTTCAAACACAACATAGACCACTATGTTGTTTTAATAAATAGTACATATTGTAAAAGGTTGTGAAGAAGTGGGTGTTAGGTCATCTTACTACCTAACCTCAAGCAAATTATTCGGTTATAATATCTTTCAACTTAGCTAATTATACCATTAGAAACAGTTATCTTAAGCATCATTTGGAGCTTAAAATGACCTTATGTCGAAAGAAATTATTTAATTTGACACAAACACAATTATATGTATATAATACTATACACCTAAACAAAAAAATGTTATACAATCAATGCATTTACACTACAACTCATAAGTGGTATCTTTCTCATATAATCGCATATAGATCGTAGCTAGAAACCCAAAAGTATACTGCTGCACACGAAGGGAAAGACAAATCCAGGGGAAAGACAAATCCAGGGGAAAGAAACAGAATAAGTAGATAAAAACTGAAATCTTGTCAAGGATGACAGTAATTCAAATAAGAAGTTCCTTTTCAATATACATATTCATTTGTGCGTCAGAGTCCGATCATCTGAATTTGAGCTTTGTTTTTCTATAACTTTGCGCAACATTCTTTTTCCTTTTTTT